TTTTTGCTTATGTGGTGCTAAGGAACCGAACCCAGGGCCTCATGCATGCAAGGCAAGCGCTCTACCACTGAGCCACCTTCCCAGCCCCGAGATGTTTCTTAATTGTAGGAAGAAGTAACAAAAATAAAGACACAAAATGGCTTATCTCTTTGCATGATGGTACATAAGGCTTTTCAGATACCTTCAATTAATATACTTCATAAAGATAAATATACCTCCTCCCAAAGATTTTCACTGACTCCAGAGAACGACTTAGCTCCCTTCTACTTTCTTTTTCATGTTGAAGAACATTCAACTTTAATGTTTAAACACTATAGTAGTGTGTAAACACTATAACTTTACTCCAAGAACACATCTAGGTAATGAGTGAGCTCCAAAGAAGCAGTGAAAATAATAGTTACTAGGAAAAGTTTGAAAACTTGATCTCTGTAGCTTTGGAAGTGACTTCAACCCTAAAGGTCTCAAGGCCAGACTATTTCCTACTCACTGTTTTGAAGTGAGTTATGTTTGTTACAAGTGTATTTAAATGCAAAACAAATTTAGGTTGATTAGGCATAGAGCAAAAGGTTAAAAAAGCCTTCTAATTCATTAGAAACATATATCCAAAAACAAGGTATGCTGATTATTTTTTTTTAATCTTGGAATTTTCTTTCTTTTAAAAAAATTGTATTATTTTGAAGTTCACCTTCGGTCGTGGGAATGTGATTGGGGGTAGAGAATGCTCTGATTGGTGAAAATCAGGGGCCTGGTTTGTATCTCTGACTCTGGGTTCATTCAGCAACTACTTAGTTGCCTGCTTATAATCAGCCCTTCCAGGTTCAGTGGAAACAAGACGGAAATGTCCCCAGACTCAGGGCTAGTCTATAATCTGCTATAGGAGAGCTGGTGCTGGAGGTGAGTTAGGAAAGAATGAACGTATGTGGGCGGCTAAGGATGGAAGAGAAGCCAGGGGACGTTATGTGTTCATCTTGAGTTTATTCAGCTTCTTTCATTCATGGGAGAAATTGGGTTGGGAATCCAGGCCACCCAATTTGGTTGGGCATAAAGGAGGAATGCAGACTTGCGTCACATGCTGAGGAGTACCACCTACACAAACCTTCTAAGATGTGGACTCCTTTGTAAGCTTCAATATGACTCAGAATAGTCCAGGTCTTTGTGTGCGCATCTGGGACTAACCAGCTGAACTTCTGAGCCTCCTATAGACCCACAGTCTGTTTTAGTATGCATGAAGCAACCATGTACCAACCAGTCAGACCCCTCCAGGTGAAGGACCCATTTGCCTGTCCCTTTCTGGGTTTAGCTCTGCAAGTCTCCCATCCCAAGGACACGCGAAGAGACTCTCACTTTTAACCTGCCCCTTTTCTTTTTAGGTCTTAGACAACGCTCCCTTTCCTTTGTCCTTACTTTCCTTCTTAATTCACTGCGCCAGCATGGTGTGCTTTTTCTTCCCCGCCCCCCTTCTTGGGATCCCAAATTCCCACATTTAAACTTCTTCCAGTGCTGCAATAATCTCTCGTGAAGACGCATCCATGTGGAAATGCTAAAGTAAGGAGTGGAAGGCAATGGCTCACCATCTCTCGACATTCCTAGAGCAAGACACTTCTGCAGTCGGCAGTGTTGGCAACGGTTTCTGTTGGTTCTGTCAATCAAACAGTTTCTCTGCCTTGGGCAGGAATAAGAGGCATTATTCTGTTGGCTCCTCCTAAAGAAACCCTACAGGGAACAAGAGAAGGCGAGAGAAAGGCTCATAAGAAGGGAAATGTGAACGTACACCCATGTTACATTTTCTGGAGTGAACATAACTGAGGGGAATTTTCACAGTTCTGTGAATATGTCACAGATATTCCTGTGTGGGAAATAAATACTATTGAAGAGGTGTGATGGTGTTGTTCATTCATTCATTCATTCATGCATGCATGCCTGCATGCATGCATTTATGCATTTGTATGAATATCTATTGCAAACATTATGGACTATGCTGATCTTGGCAGAGAAAACAAAGTTTCTGCTCCAGAGAGCAGTAGCAGGGGGTAAGGTGGGGAGGGGGGTGGGTAGAGGAGTGACAAAGAAATGTGCCACTGGGAAACTAAATGTGATGAAACTTGACCATGACAAGGACCAGGTGCTGAGGTACCGAGGGTTTAATCATTGAAGGGTGAGTGCTTGATATGAGCTACTGCCTTCCTAATCTCCCTTCCTTCCTTCCTTCCTTCCTTCCTTCCTCTCTCCCTTCCTTCCTTCCTCTCTCCCTTCCTTCCTTCCTCTCTCCCTTCCTTCCTTCCTCTCTCCCTTCCTTCCTCCCTCCTAACCTCTCTCTCTCTTTCTTTCTTTCTTTTCTCTCTTTTTTTTTGTCAGTCTTGGGGCTTGAACTCTGGACCTGTACGCTGTCCCTGAGCTCTTCAGCTCAAGGTGAGCACTCTTCAACTTGAGTCACAGTGCCACCTGTAGTTCTCTGGTGGCTATTGGAGATAAGAGTCTTACAGACTTTCTTGCCCAGGCTGGCTTTGAACCATGATCCTCAGATCTCAGCCTGCTGAGTAGCTAGGATTACAGGTGTGAGCCACTGGTGCCCAGCCTTCCTAGTTTCTAGGATGCTTTTTCCTCCATTTGAAAAAAAAGTCAGTGTGGTTAGTTATATCTAGAAGTTGCTTTGTAAACCAAAGGAGGTATCTTTAAATCAACTACATCACTGAGTAATTAAAAATGTAATGCGACTTTTTTAACAACAATAACAACAAATGTAAAACCAAAACAAACATTTTCTGCTTGGTCCTGGTACAAGATGAACTGTGATGGACCATATACCGCTCTTAAATTGGAAACATTTAACTAAAGCTCACTTGAACCAAAATTCATTGGATTTACCATCTATTATTATTATTATTGTTGTTGTTGTTGGGTAGCTGTCCTGGGTCTTGAAATCAGGGCCCAAGTGCTGTCCCTTTGTGCTCAAGGCTAGCACTCTATCATTTGAGCCACAGCCTTTTGGTGATAAATTGAAATGTCTCACGAGTTTCCTGTCCCAGCTGGCTTCAATAAATATTTTTTGATACTCAGTAAAAATAGTATTCCAACATAATGTGTTAAAATCGGATACAAATACAAAAGTAGCAATAGTTGGAAGAGCGACAGGATTGATGTACTGATTCTCCTTCGGTCTTGGACTACAATGTGGCTGGACTTTGGCACTGTGAAGATGGTTTTGCTGGACTGGAATGAGCCCTGGCAATGGCCCCATGGCCTGGGATCCCTCAGAGAGCGAACAGCCCCCTGGATTTTGTCAAGCCCAACACCATTCAGCAGGAAGCAGCTTCAGTTCCCTGTTCCATGTGTACTGGTAATTCACTTGGACCAGTGATGGCAGAATGGGTAACTGTTCAGTTTAACTGGACTCATGGAGCCCCTTAAAATAGAGACCTCGTATAAGCCCCTGGGGTTGAAGTTAAACCATGAAAACTGTTAGAGTGAAGAGAATTTGAAAATTATGTTGTAAGAAAGAACTTTTTTTGTTTCTTTGGTATGTTCTTCCCTCTATGGTATAACCCCTTTGTCACTGTATTTGATGCCCTGCATCTTGTATATATAACTTTCAAATTTGGGGAGGGGAAGGGAAATAACAAAATGCTGAAACAAGGACACAGGCTGACCCATTGTAACAATGACAGTACAAGACAGTGTGTTGAAAACAAAATTTTCAACTTTGAGCGGGGGTGAGGAGTTGGGGAGGTGGGGAGGGAAGGGATGGTAGGGGAAAAACAAAGGAGGAGGTTAACAATGCTCGATAGTTACTCATGTAACTATAACCATTCTGTACAGTATCTTTACAATAAAAATTTTAAAAAGAAAGAACTGGCTAGTTTTTAATCTTTGAATGCTATCATTCACTTGAGCACAAGATTTGGCAGGAAAAGATTCAAGTGAAGTCCCAACTACAAGCCCTAACTTAAGACCAATGTGATATTACTTCTGAGTCATTTCTTGCTTATCTTATCTGTTGCTCCATATTGCACGTAGTTTTTGGCATGAGCAAGATATTCTGTTTCACATTTTATTGAATAAATAGGCCTTGAAGATGTGTATGAACTGAATTGGCATTATTGAAAATGGGTTGCGTATGTTGATTCAAAAACTATTATGAAAATGCAGAGGTTGATCTAGAATGTGCTGACATGAATAGCTAATACTGAAGGAGATTTCTCGAAGGAGATTTTTTTTTATTGGAGAAAATGTATCATATTCTAAAATGTGGGATTTGTCTGTGAAATAAACAAGAGCAGTAGGAAATAGTTGTTTTGACTAAAACCTCAGAGTGGTCTACAGCATCACAGCAGAATTTCTAGTAGTGGTCCTTTCTTTTAAACGGAAAGGATCACACTTGTCTTCAGCTATTAATATGTTCTGTTATTTTTGTCCAGCATTTAAATCTTGCAAATCACTATTTCAAATATTTTCTCCTTAACATAAAGATGGACGCATGTTTTGGAATAAGACATGTTTCAACTAGAGGTTATGTAAAGAAGCACCAAATAGTTCTGCTTTGGTATTATATCTTGTTTCTAAAGCTAGGAGGCCATGGATTATGTCTGTAAGCCTAGCAACTCAGGAGACTGAGATATGAGGATCGTGGTTCAAAGCCAGCCTAGGCAGGAAAGTCCATGAGACTTTTATCTCCAATGAACCACCCAAAAACCGGATGTGACGCTGTGGCTCAAGGTGGTAGAGTGCTAACCTTGAAAGCAAGAGTTCAGGGACAATACCCAGGCCCTGAGTTCAAGCCTCACTACTAAAACAAAACAAAACAACCCCCAAACAAACACTCCCTCCATTTCTAGTGCATATGATGTCAACTAGATTACCACTCTTGAAATTGCAGAGCCTGATCAAAGTTGTTCTGATTCCAAAGGGACAAGGGTCTATGAGGAAAACCATTTTTCTACACCTGCCTTTATTTATTTAATTAATGTTTAATTAACATTGAATGGATATTGTCATATTGATTTTAATTCTGCTTTTGCTTTGTTGTTTCTTCTTGATGAGTCAGAAACAACCACACGAAGGTGGATAACACATGGTTTTACTTCTTGTCTTTTTTTGTTTCCCTGGTATTTGGGTTTGAAATGAGGGTGTTGTGTTCTTACTTGTCTTGGTTGCTCTACTGGCTCTACTCTACCACTTGAGTGACACTTCCAGCTCTGCTTTTTGCTGGTGGTTCTGGAGATAAAAGTCTCACAGACTTTTCTGCCAGGGTTACCTCAAACATTGATCCTCCGGTTCTCAGCCTCTTAAGTCTCTAGGACTGCAGGTGTGCACCACTGGTGTCTGGCAGTGTGCAGTTCTTAATTACAGGTCTGTGGGAAAGGAAAGACTGCAAGGGGCATCCCATGACACCCTCATACGGACAATCAGAAACTGTTTCTTAAGCAGGCTGGTGAGTGGATCTTTCTCTCCCTTCACTTTTAGTCTTATTCTTTCACTTTGCTTTTCTGTCCAGTTTCAATTTAGGAGTCATACTTGGTTCTTAAGACTTTTATGAAGACATAGTTAAATACTACCTGACAGATACTGTATCTCATTTACTCTTAAAAGCATCTTAAGATCAACATTGGATTGTAAGGACTGAGAATGTAGTTTAACTGTAGAGTACTTGCTTAGTGTGCACAAGGTTGAATCACCTTCGTGATTCAATCGCCAGCACTAGCTACGCCCCCCACCCCCAATTATCCTTGAATAGCTTCTGCCTAATTTTTACACAGTAAGTTTCAGGACAACTTGACTACAAAGTGACACCCCTTGTCTCATTAAAAACAAACAGACATACATACAAACAAACAAACAAGATGGGATCCTAGAACAACCACACTCAATCTCCTTCAGTTAACTGACCTTAAATTAAGGATTCACTTTTCTTACATTTGACCAAAAGTATGATCACGCCTGCCAATAACTTTGCCAAGCAAGTCACCAAGGTCCTCCCGGATGAGAGCTGCTATTCCTTGGTGAGCTGTTCTGATTTTCCCCTGAGATGTAGACTCTTGCTCTTTCCCCTCTAAGCACAGTTTTTACAAACTGCCTGCTGAATTTCAGACGTGTCTTATTTGGGGCTAGGTCTATGACAAAGGGCTATTCCCTGAGCTCCGTGTTTCCAGTGGTCTTTGCTCAGACGCATGAGCTTGACATTGGGTTGATGGCATCTGCCTGTGGGGAACATTGAACCGAGTGTGAAAACCACTGTGGTTTCAGTCGGCTCTTTACTATCTCCATCAATGACATCAATCTCAGGACGTCATAGAGAAATGAAGAGACTGGGCTCGATGACTTGGAATGGCATTAAGGATGTTGTGATCTACTTTTAGCATCCTGTGCTTCCTGGAGAACAAAAGGATGGCTATGTATATTTCAGCCATCACCGGGATGTCCTGTTCTTCAAGCAGATACACAAATATCTGCCCTGGAATTTATAACCTTGATTTTAACCTTTAGTTCTATTATGAGTGCATAGGATTTACTCAAGATGATACTGCAAAAAAAAAAAAAAAAACCAACCCACAAAAAAGAACAGCAAGCGTCAGGAGTTTATATCTGTATGAATGTGAATAATTCAACCCTTTAAATAGACAGTCCCTCTTCAGAATCTGCCAACCAGCTCAGACAGACATTAAAACAACAATCCTCCCACCCCATAAAACAAACCAACAAGCAGATACAAGGCAAAAGAAGGGGAAAAATCACCTCTCCCACCAGGCAGAATTTCTGTTTGTCAGCAGCGGGCACAAGCACCCCACAGCAGCTTCTTCCCAGCCACCCCCCTGGGGGAGCACTGTCACCCCAGCCAACACAGGACAACGCAGGGCAAGTCCCTACCTTGCAACCTTCGCACGTGATAACGCCGTAGTGAATCCCGGAGGATTTATCGCCACAAATTTTGCATGGTATGACTTCAATTTGTGCTGAAAGGGGAAAACAGACATTCAGCATTTACGACGTTGTCTTCTTTTTCTTGCTTTTGCCCTCCCCGCTCATCCATGCTACGTTTGTGTTTGAGGATGCCACCCATTGCTCTGTGTGTGTGTGTGTGTGTGTGTGTGTGTGTGTGTGTGTGTGTGTATGCGTACCAGTCCTGGAGCTTGAACTCAGGGCCTGGGCACTGACCCTGAGCATCTTTTGTTCACCAGGCTAATACCCTACTACTTGTGATACAGGCCTCGTTCCAGCTTTTTTAGTCTCATAGGACTTTCCTGCTCCAGCTGGGCTCGAACCGCCATCCTCAGATCTCAGCCTACTGAATAGCTAGGGTTATAAGTGACTTCACACGTTGTTTACTTAATGGCTTTCCCACGCATCTTCAACATGAGAAAACATTCATTCGCCATCATTATTCTCATACCAAAGAAATAACATGACGAGAAAGCAGAACGTTTTCTAAAGTTGTGTTTCCAGTTTTAATTTACTTGGCAGTACTGGGACTTGAACTCAGGGTCTTGTGATGGTTAGGCCGGCACTCTACCACTTGAGCCATACCCCTGCCCTGTTTGTTTCCTTTGTAAAATTGACCTTAAAATAATGTCATAAGCAAATTCCCCAAGAGGTTTGTTTCTCTTTGGTGTTGTTAATGCACTATGTGATTTTTTTTGTTTCTTTTGTGTGTTCTTCCCTCTATGGTATATCCCCTGTTGTCACTGTATTTGATTTTGGTACCCTGAATCTTGTATATACATGTATCTAATTTGGGGAGGAGAAGGAGAATAACAAAATGCTGAAACAAGGACACAAGATGACCCATTGTAATGATACCCACAAGACACTGTGTTGGAAATGAACTTTACAACTTGGGGGGGGAGGATAGTAGGAGAAAAACAGAGGAGGGGGTAACAATGCTAGACAAGAAATGTAGGGGCTGGCAAGGTGGCTCAGTGGTAGAGCGCTTGCCTTGCATGCATGAGGCCCTGGGTTCGATTTCTCAGCGCCACATAAACAGAAAAAGCTGGAAGTGGTGCTATGGCTAAAGTGGTAGAGCGCTAGCCTTGAGCTGAAGAGCTGAGGGACAGCACCCAGGCCCAGAGTTCAGGCCCCATGACTGACAAAAAAAAAAAAAAAGTACTCATTACTCATGTAACTGCAACCCCTCTGTATAGCATCTTTACAATAAAATTCTCAAAGACACAGCTCTAGATTTCTTTAAAATTTAAAACGAGTTATTACAAATTAAATTTTAAAGAAGTTATTATAAAGGTGATGTACAGAGGGGTTACAGTTACATAGGGGTAAATTTAGCTTTTTGATAATGTCTCCCCTTCCCGCACTCTTTCCCAGAGATTTAGATTTCTTATATTGCACTTGAAATATTAAATTACTAGGAGTCTGATGTGGCCTTAGCTCAGCAATATTTTAATTATGTAAATAAAGCTCACATGGCCTATCTCAACAATATTTAAATATGTCAATAAAACAATGCTAGGACATGGGTACCTGATGACTTTACACATGATGTGGCTGAATACTAAGAATGTCAATAATGAATCAGCCTGACATTTAGCCAGCATGCTCTGTCTGTCCACTAAGTTACTGATGGCTAAGGGGACAGAGAAAGATATGATCATAATTCTAATCATCCAATTACTAAAGAGAACTTAAATGGATAAATAAAAAAGAAAGCTATTTCGGTGGGTACCAAGTATTAGGTTGGAACTCTTGATGATGAAGCCATTTCATTTTGAAAATTGTCTGGGATTTGGTTAAAATTGGAGGGAAAAACAAAGGGCCTGAGTGATAAAGAATGATCATGACTTGTCATCGTACAGCAACAGGGTGATAATGAAAATTTGGGTAGCATGAATGATGTCAGATTTTAGAGCTCCTGATATTAGGCCAAAGGAGTATTCTACCTCACCTCACTTGTCATAAGAATAAACACAGCGAGCAGGGTAATGCAGTGATGAATGTGGTAGCGTAAGCAGGTTATTTAGAAAATGTGGATGTTAGGGAATGAACGTCTGGGCAAAGGGAGAGGAAGATGTGTACAGAGATGATTCAAAAGCAGAAGGGAAAGGAAGGATGGAAACGGATGAGGAATTGAAGATGGCTTCCAGTTCTCTAGTGTGGGACGTAGGATAAAGTGCATCTGTAAAGAGTGCTGGGACATTGGTGCAAGTTGTGGGCATGAATGTCCATCTTGCAGGTGTGCGATTTTCTCTGATGTCTTAATGGGCACCTATATGTACAACCCTATAGACAGATAAGGCTAAGTCAACATTATAGACAATATTTAAAATGCCATAATTTCAGTGGTTTTGGTAGTTAAAATGACATGTACTTAGACGTGCTTTTGTCTCCCAATCTAAAGCATTTATGTAAAATAGACCTTTGTACATTAATCTTGCACTGGATATGCAAAACAAATATACAAAAATAATTAAACACAAGGTATTATGCTCTTTTTCCCTTATTATTTTACATTTTAAAAGATAATGTTTAGCTTTTAGGATAAAATATTAAGTTTTCCAAAATGAAGCAAAAACTTCAGGATGGGCTGGGGGGAAGGGGCGTGAATATGAGCAGAAAAGGACTTTGTATAAATGCATGAAAATATCACCATGAAGCCTAGTGCTCTTGTTGTCATTTTTGTACCAGTTCTGAGGCTTAAACTCAGGTCCAGAGCGCTGTCCCTGAGCTTTTATGCTCAAGGTTAGTGCTCTATCACTTGAGCCACAGCTCCACTTCTGTTTTTTTTTTTGTAATAGTAGTAGCTGGTTATTTGGAGATAAGTGTCTCATGAACTTTCCTGCCTGGTCTGGCTTTGAACCACAATCCTCAGATCTCAGTCTCCTGAGCATTTAGGATTACAGACATAAACCACTGGTGTTGGGAAAGCCCAGTGTTTTGTATACTTCGCATACATTATTAATGAGAATTAATATTGGTGATACTTTTGAGCATCCATGAGAAATGATAACCAGAAATCAGCTCCCTTCCCTGATAGTTTGCTTAGTAACCCATTCTCTGACTTGTACAAAACAAGAGTACACTTTTTGAATTCCTATACTGTTCTAAGATCAGCAACAGAGCAGCTAACAATAAAAAAAGATCAGAAGACATCATCACCTAAAATACTTATATGTCTACTTGCTTTAGAGCTGCTTAGCTTTCAGATTTCATGAATTTCAAGTTTTTGGGATGGAGAAAGAGTGATACTTGATGTCATCCTGCCCTGGTCCCTTGGATTCTGTTTGTTAATCTATTAATGATGAGAGCTATTGCTAAGATAAAAATGTCTGAACATACATTTTGTGGATTTTAAGTAAAACTTTGTCAACAAGCTTCATAGATCTGTGAGGATCAAATAGATATTTTATGTCAACCTGCCTTAGAAACAGTAGAGATATAAAATCTTTTCAACCTTCATCATCACCATTAACCAGTTTTTCTAATGTTGTTGGATAAGAAATATGACAAACCAGATTAGTATTCCTTTGTTAAAGATCTTGTCATTTGAAAATAACCTACAAATTACATCATGAGCTTGTATATTATGGATTTTTAAAAGCAGTTACCTTTCAGAGAGTAGATTGTTTATGATTATTATGAAACGCACTAGAATTTTTCAAGTATCATTGTATAGGTTTTGGCTTATATAATATCGAGTCAGAATCTCTCAGCATAAATTACTCCCCAGGGAGTAGCTTGCACAGGGGAAGAGTCTGCCTCAATAAGTTCTTAATTATAAAATGATCTAACTTTAAAGGAAATGAAAATAGAGGTAATTTGCCCCCTGGGGTATGAGAAGATATTTTTGAAAGGCACAAAGGTTATCTTACACAACTTCAGAAATATAAATGAGATAAGATGCATTCCACAGAGCCTCTGCACATTTATACATATTTATAGTCCTGGTTCCACATGTAATCCTGAAGAGCTATAAAAAAAACTTTAACAGCATTTTAAAAAAGAAGGAAGTCACCTCCAAGAGAATATGTATATTGTTGTGTGTGAGAAGAGGTTATCAGCCTGCGAACCTTAAGACCAGTTTTACTGAAGGTAGACTGAATCACTTGAGATTTATTAGAGGTGAAGATAAGCTGAAGTAATTGAAAGTAGTTGTCATTTGCCTTTTCTGTTAGTAAAAAACTGCTTCTGAGCTACAACTTTGGAGCTCACACTGTGGATTTTTAAAGAACACATCTTTAAGGCAGAGTTTTTTAGACCCTAATTCGGACACCATCAGAACACATTATAGCTCTAGTGTTTGCTCTAGTTTTCTAAATGTCTTCCTACTGGATGTGTGGCCTGTAGAACTTCTGGCTTACCATCATAAAAACCTATACCACGTAGAAATTTATACCACAGATACCTGGGAGTTTTAAAATCCATTTTTGGTAACAATTGTAAATAATTATTTACAGCAATTGTAAATATGCTACCGCAGCAGGCATTGTAGAATTATCTTACAGTGAATGCAGACTTGGTAACATCGTCTAAGATGTTTCCACCTGAACATCTTAGAGGAGGAGTTAGTGGTAGGAGCCTCTCCGGCCATGATGATGATGGTAACAGAAAGACACTGTGAAGGTCTTGCTCTTTTCGCTTGCCTTCTGGAAGGTGTCAATGTACCATTCCACAAGAGACAAAGTTAGAGGAGCCTTGAGACCTGGCTTGAGATTCGCTCATTTTCCTTTGTTTAGTTCTCATATCTTCTTCTTGTTTATATATTTTCTATCGGTGATCTTTTCTTCTTCATGTGATGTACAGAAGCAGTTCTATAATCAGCTAAAGAGAACTTTTCTTTTTGGACAATGTCATCTCATTCTCTCGCTCTCTCCCAGATTTTTCCTCCTGTCCCCACCCGCAAGTTGTATAGCTCATTTTCAGTGAGTGGCATTGCTACATTTGTTCACCCTTTGTGTTACCATTTCTGTGCTTTATCTTATACTCCCAATGACAGATAAATGAATCA